TTGTTTTAATAAATTTCATAAACAATTTATAAGTAAACAAGTGATAGACATGCAGAGCCAGTGTGTGCAATTATATCTAAAACAGATTTTTTTTATATATTTAAACTTTGTAACCGGTACCTATATTGCAATATCATCACTGTGAATAGAAAGATTTGTAAAGTTTTCAAGACACTCAACAATGAAAAACACCTTGCCAATATTACTGTAGATGTTTTCCATTCTAGATTTTACTTTCTGTACATATGCCATATATCTGTAAAAGAAAAGTTTACTTAGTTTTCACCATAATACTGTACTTAACTTTGTTAACATTTTGCGAAAGACTCATTCAAATCTTTATATCCGTTTTTAAAAACATTTGTTCTAGGACATTTCCCCTTGGATGGTCCTCATATCCACACCCTACTCCTAATCGTCACAACAATTTAATCAATTACTGAATTTTGACAAACTATTATTATTAAAGTTTCATTTAGACGCACACATTACACCATAAACAGGATCGTCACCAAGTCATACCGGTACCCCAGTATTCTTAAAACGAACTTTAGTCGTAGTTCGAGGTAAAACTTCAAAATTACGTAATTTCGTATTCTTAAAACGAACTTCGACTAGCACTACGACAAAATCACACGAACCTTGACTAAAATTATACCTCCTCCGGCCGATTTTCTTAGTCAGCCTAGGGTCAGGCTAAACCGCCGACTTGAAATATTTACCCCATTAAAAACGTGCTTTTTGTAACTTACGATAAAGAGAAATGGACAAAGAAGATTGTATAAATAGGTCGGATGTATCTCCAGTGTGCTCAAGAAAAGGGACATTACGTTTAGCTTTCAAAAGGCAAAATTAACATGTTTCGCTAGCCGCATGCAACAGTTCTTGATTTGCACGAAATCTCCTCGCTCTGCGGTCACGTAGCTTCACCGTATCAACAACAAAGATGGCGCCACCCTCGGTCGACCTCAACTATAATAGTTCTCCAAAGAAAGCACATTTTCAAATTCTCTATCGTTAGATGTTAACGACTAATATAGTTATTATTATATAGTATAGCTGTCTCTTATACACATCTAGATGTGTATAAGAGACAGATATAAGGCTGTACTATTCTTGAAGGTCACGTGCTTCATGAACTGTATGTAGCGACTTAAGTCCGTCGTCCACATAAAAATTATTTCTTTCACAAAATTTGTAGCAGTCTCACTAAATTACTTCTCATCATTATTTTCTGCTAGTTTAAGGCCACATTTTGCGCAAGCTGGAGAGCTCCTGGCACCAAAGATGTATACCTTCATTCTGTATTCTTCGATATCGTCTATCGTGTTACAGTCCTTCCACAATAGAAACCAAAGCGTGTTGCGATCTTCCTCCCGTACTAGGAATTTGGTGAAACACTGATCTTGTTTTTATTTTGGTGATAAGCATTAGTATGTGAACATCATTCAATTTACCAACTTGTACACCTGTCTCTTATACACATCTGTGTTAAGATTAAATTTAACAACAGAGGCAGAGGCAATAGCTGAAATATTTTCAGGAAAAACGCATACTAGGCGGCCTTTTAGTATACTATATAAACGTTCGGAGACAGATTGCGACTCAAATTACGACAGTATTAAGATAATTCAGTGCATTGGTTTAATATATGTTCTCATGAACATTTCGCTCATCAAAACAAATATAACGAATAGAATAATGCAATGTTTGTATACTTATATATGTCAAACAAATAATAACTCTAGGAAAATAATGTTGCTGAAACACTCACTTTACCTTTAGACTTTATTGGTACTTTAATTGCCTTTTTTTTTTTTTAATTTTTGTTTCATGTCTCATCAAATAAAAGCCAGTAATTGTAACTTGAATAACATTAAAATAATGCATGAAACGTGAAACTTCGGTTATGCATATTCATGCATATATCAGCTCTTTCAAACTGATCTGAATAGCGCCCTTTCTGGTTTTTATAATATACAGTAAGGAGAGAATGTGGCGGTCGCTGATGCCGGGGTGGCGATCACCCATTTCGCCACCCCCTGGATCAGGGAATATAGTATCATATTTAAGAGTGCATCTGGTCATCGTTTTCTGCCGTGGATAACATCGCACATTATTTTGGACGAGTTTTACCAAAATTTCAAGTACACTATAATGTGCAATGAATTATCAGGCCTGGAATGTATTAATAGGTATATATAATTTAAAGAGTAATCAGAATAATTATGAATAATATTAATAATACATAATAACATACTTTATTAATATTACATGTATAATCGAAAATAATTATTGCATGCACCCATTTTCAAAATATAAAATTAATTTTGACAAGCACGTAAATTAAATATAGGCCCACAGAGAAAAAATACCCCAAAAATTCAGAATAATACTAGCACTTTATGATTAACTATATTCTTTTCTGCTTCTATGAAAGTACTTTATTATGCAAATAAACATTGAGATTTCAAAACAAAATGCAAATCAAAAAGGCCACAAAAGAGAACAGCAACATTTAAACTAATTAAATCACTGTTAAATGGGCAAAACAACTTTCCTTTTTAGTTCCTATGCATGTAATGCAATAGGAACTATTGTAATCACTCTTCACATTTCCTTTGTTTTTTATTGTGTGTAGTATGTGTGTGCGTGTGTGTGTAGACATTTATGCAAATACGCATGCGTCAAAGAAAAGTTTTCCGACACTTTGTTTTACTTCGCGATGCGAAGTTCAATGTGAAGTTTCTGCAGAGTTCAGTCAGGGCTCACGCTAACCGATCGGCAAGTTGGCATGGATGGAACTATTTTGGTTTTACGGCAAAAAAATCAACTGCTGTAGCATAGGTATTTTGAAGAAGGCCTAAAATAAAACAAAAAGGTTTTAATACTTGATGAAATACATCGTTTTTCATTTAGATCTCCATTTTTCACTAACTCCATGGACGTTTTTTTTCTGTTGTATGAGTAGTCATATGAAGGTACTATATCCCCGACAGTTGGCTATGCAGCAATGTACCATTTGAATGCAAATTGAAGACAAGTGAAGATATAAAGGCAGCCGACTGTCGGGTACATAACGACTATCTAACTTTCCACCGCTTTCCACAAAAACATTAGGCCTAAGCTAGGCCTAGTTCAGTACAGTAGTTACTGTGATGCGAGGGTGGTAGATCGTTCAGTCAGTGATATCGTGTTATCGTCTAATACATTTTAATAATGTGTGTAAGATTTAAGAATGCACCGCGTGGGTCCCTTTCTTTGTATGCGGTAGTAGTATACGTAGCAGAGTGACGGCAGCAATCTAAGCCTAGCCTAGGGCCTAGATAGTATACGTTCTTGATCATCGTAATGAAAACTTCGAGTGACAGACGATTGGGCCCAACTGGTGTGGACGATCGGACCTAAGATAGCTTCAAATAAATAGTCCTAGTAGGCCACTGCCACTCCTGATATCGTTCCAAACTACTGTAAAATGAAATAACTGTATACCTAGCTAGGCCTAGGCCCTATACCTACGAAATTTTTTCAAAGAAATTTGCTAAAAATATTACTGTAATTTGCCTGTCGAATTACGTTACTAAAATCACTATTTTGGGCCATAAAGACTCCTCCTGTATTTTTCAACCTCCACACAAATTTGTACATATATACATATATATACACGTATATATACGTATATATACACATATATATATACACGTATTATATATACATAATATATATATACGTATATATACATGCGTATATATATACACGCGTATATATACACACGCGCGTGTATATATAATATGTACACGCGCGTGTATACGTATATATATATATATACGTATATATATATACACGTATATATATATAGGGCCTATATATACTTTTTAAGTCATTATCATGCATAGGAACGTTGACGCCTGCAAGGCTCTGGTTTTAATTTACTGTGATCAGCGATGTTACTGACTATATAGCCTAGGCCTAGGCGGAGAAGAATAAATCCACGCCTAGGCGGAGAAAAATAAATCCACTGTGGTAGCAAATCAAATTAAGTAGCAAATTTGACAATGACTACCACGCATAATTATTAAATAGTACGTAATATTACTTTTACATTGGATTTTCGTTGTTCTCTGCACATATTTCGATTCGATGTAAAACGATGCCTCGCATGAATCGTTGTTATGCCTCGCACTTTTGGGAATGGTAAAACGATGCCTCGCATGAATCGTCGTTTTGCCTCGCTGCCTCGCATGCCTCGCTGCCTCGCACTTTAGTACTACTCAAACCATTACCACTAACACGCATCAGTAACCTCAATATACAAATGGATTTGTTCATTCAGACACTGAATAAGGCAGATACAGATCCGATTTTTTTTTTTTTTTAAGGAACCGTAATGTAACCCATGACCCTGCGTATATGTGAATGGCTTTAAACTAGATTGATTATTAAGTGAAATATAATAAATATTACCGGCACTCGTCTACACGACGGTGTGTTCACGAAAATATCTTGATGTTTCACAGTTAAAATTAACACTCTGTAGGCCCAAGAGTATGGAACGCCATCGCTGCCTTCGGTAACAGCTTAACATTCGGCGCATTTACATTCAGCCCTTTTACCATTACGTTTGGCTCTTTTACCATTCGGCGCATTTACATTCGGGCCTTTTACCATTACGTTCGGCTCTTTCACCATTCGGCACATTTTCATTTGGCCCTTTTACCATTACGTTCGGCTCTTTTACCATTCGGCGCATTTTCATTCGGCCCTTTTACCATAATTACGTTCGGCTCTTTTACCATTCGGCGCATTTTCATTCGGCCCTTTCACCATTCGGCGCATTTACATTCGGCTCTTTTACCATTACGTTCGGCTCTTTTACCATTCGGTGCATTTACATTCGGCGTAGTATTTACATTCGGCGCAAATAAATAAAATATAACCTTTGACATTTGGGTCAAATGAAAAATTTGAGCGGCTGGAATGAGCCTATACAAGTTTAGTCGCAACGCCGTACCATGGCACCATGGTACTTAGGCCTACTAGACCTAGACCTATTAAAGATGTCCTTAATTAACTTCATTTAATGCATCTTCTGGAGAATTTCGAAAGGGAGAAGGTATTATTATTATTATAATAATAGCAACAATAATACAGAAATAATAATATTATAGGCCTAGGCCTAATGATTTATCATCAAATGATAATTAAGGGTCCTGCCTGGCCGGTTTTCACCGCCGGAGAGATGACAACTGACGAGGCATGCAATGTGGGGTACTAGGGCTTCTTGGCCATAGGGCCTAAAGTTACTATGGTTTAGGGGGTGGGGTTAGGGCTAGTTAGGGTTGGGGCCGAGAATATTCTGTAACATCAGGGCCTAGGCCTTGTCATCACTGACCTTAATTAGGTTTCTGACATTGACATAGATTTTATAATTAAGCATCACGACTCCCCATTTTTGTTTACTTAATAATTATAAACTAGGCCTAGGGCCTAGGTCACAGGCGTGGGCCACGACCTGGACTAATTGATAGTTAGCAGGTGTAGCCTATATAGGCCTATGGCAGGACGTTATTTGACAGGTTATTAATTATTTTACAACCAAACACAAATGATTGCTAATAAATGGCCAAAAATGTATTTTTTAAGTGATTTTTTTTTTTATTCTCATGAACTCTTTGTAAAAGCCAACTTGTGTTTGTGTGTAGGGGTGCTGCATTGTATGTGTCAGAGACTTATTCTCTGTGTTATTCTTTTCAGATTACCAGTGACGAAATCTGCGCACTGTCAGATGCCCAACTTGAAAATTTGAGTGTGACAACAATTGGTGGTAGGCACCGACTAAGAATAAATTGTAGACAAACAGGTATGGCTATGTGTACCTGTGTATTGTATCTATCATAAAGTGACTTATCATATGTATATATTTTATGTAAAAATTTATATTTAATATTTCATTTTATTTATTTTCCCGAATTATACATTGCCTAAATTGAGACAACATATGTTTAAACCCACAATTATTATAGTATAGTATTTCAACTTTTCTCTAGAATTAACCTGAGTAAGGGCTGGTATGCCAATAGTATTACAATATATCCTTATAGCTTTCTTGTCTGGTGGATCTGGCGTCGATTTTGGTTTCTGGACTGTCCCTTACATCAGACCTTAAATATCACACATTTTTTTTCTAGGTAGGCCACTATTGCAGATGATCTGAAATGTGCTCCTAATTCACCTTAAGTGTATTTCAATGTTTTTTTTACCTGTTCTGTATTTTATAGGATCCATTTTGTCTAGATTTATGCCAGCCAGACACAGCCCCAACACCAAAAAAGGAAAGCACTCGAAGACGCCATGGACTCGGAAGATAGTTTGCCTGTCAGATCCATCGACAATAACACCAAAATGTTGGCAAAAGCAACAACTAGCAGAAGCTGGGCTTAGTGAAAATAACATAACAGTACATAACAGTATAAATCCGGATGAATTCCAGGAAGTACTATATGCTAACTTTCCCAAGCTGAGGGATGGTGGGGTTTAGAGATAATAATATGCTTTGGGAGTGGAAGAAAGCTTACCCCAATTAGGGGACATATTCACCCTGAATATAAAAGAAAAATCAGGTCAATGTAGAGTCTATATACGACCAATTTAACATGCACTAAACATGGATTCAGAAAGGGTAAAGAGGCATAATATGATCAGTTATCAATCAATCAATCAGTCAAATTCACCTATATAGCGCAAGTATTTATTAAATAATATTCAAAGGCACTCAAGTTATGTGTGAATTTGAAAGACATCCTTAAGAACGTTCTAATAGATAAAATATAAGTGACAGTTTATAAATGATTATTAATACATCATTTTTAATTGTTTACTCTTTTAGGAAACTGATGAGGACTCAGAAGAAGTGTCCTAAATCCCAAAATAACATTTCATTCTGTATTTTAAAGAAACATTTGGCAAGCTATGCAAGTAGCAGGTAACTATGAAATATATTTTCTATTTTGTATTTTTGACATTTATAAATTACATGAATGAATGAAATTAATATGATTGATATAAATATTCATACTTTCAATCTATACATAATTATTAGTTAATATTGAGTCTCTACGGAGCCCTGAAAGGGACTTGGTTTAAAAAAATATAAAGTATTATTTTGTGAAAATCTCCCCAAATAATATTTCCTTCCTTGAAAACATATTTGAATTCATATTAAATAAAGTCTCAGTATTGCATTGTTATTGTAAGATCAGATTCTGATTTCCTAGTGCTCGGATTTAACCCAAACCAACAATAGAAATCCATGTCCTTTCTAACATTAGGCCTAATACAGTAGATTTGTTTGATTTGGCTTGTTTAAAAGAAAAAGTAGTATCTTTAATCCTTAAGCGTTATTTTAAAATTGTTTATTAAATATTTTTACTGATCACTTCTATTTTATTAGACCTAGTCCTCCATCAACCGTATCCATACCACCTGAAGAACAGGTAAAACGAGCATTTTTGCTGTCACTGACTATATCTTTGTATAACTTATATAATAATGATCACAACTGTTCGCAGCTGACTCGATTTTTAACTAATGTTAACTATAATAATAATTAATTTAGAAAAAATAATTCTCCATTTTCGAAAAAAGAAAAAAAAATGTCATCCAATGTTTCTGGAACAAGGTTAAACACACTTTACTGTGTAAGTAAGAGATTTCCCACATGTCACTGTGTTTTGTTTTTTTTGAAGAAAATGATACATTGTATGATCTAGACCTCACTCATAGTCATACTCCTAATGAAGTTCATGTAAGTATAATGTATCTGAAGAATGTACTTTATTCAAAAGAAATATTTGTAATAGTAAAGCAAAGTCTTATTTTTATTTGCGAAACCTTCCAGTAGTACATTGTAAATTAGGTAGTAGTTCACAATTCACATAGACGTACTACACACTGTAATTATGGAATCTGCCCCCCACCCCCACCATGGCAAGGTGGTGAAGCATTCACCCTGAAAGCAAAGGTCCCAGCTTTAATCCCTCGAGATAATAATCAACTTATTTTATATTAAGGAAATGTTTTTACCATATCACAAAATTGTATCGACCAGTTAGGTATTGATGTGGTACAAGTTTGGACTGTTACATTATAAAATAGGGGTGTATTTTTTGTTTATTGAAATTTCTTAAATTTAATTACCAGTATTATTATGTACAGTATTAGATGCTGTGATTCGTATTTTATGTTATAAAATTTTTATATACTTCCTTATATTTTTTATTGCATTCAACATTATAATATTTTATTTACATTAATTTCTTTTATATTAGCACCATCTATCTTTCCTATCAGGAAGGTGGATCAAAAACTTCAGACGTCTACTTGACTGTTTTTTTGAGCTGAACCGAACTACACTTACCCACCAAGCAGTATGTGACATTTGTGTGCAGCTGACAGGGAAGAATAAAATATATTGTAAATAAAGTAATATAATGTAAATAATTAAATAAATGAAAAATAATTTAATATATTTGTAATTAATGTATAATGCAGTAATTGTTTCTATGGTTCTAATCAATAAATGCATCACTATTATGTTCAGTTACATGTTTGTCCAAGTTTATTTAGTGTGAATTGTACTTCATGTTTTTGCAGCATCATAATTTTCTAATTAAATATTCCGTGGAATAGCAGTCGTACAATTGTGTTTTTTTAATTAGGCAGCTGCTGTGTTTTGTTTTAAAAAAATCATGATGCTGTAAATTACATAATATTCTTTAGTTTCTTTTTGTACAAAACAAAATATAGACACACTATAACATCAGAAGTTGGTGGCCATTTTGAATATATAATTACAATACCAATGTTCATTAATGTACAACACCTTAGAAGTAGCATGGTACTGCTGGAGAAACACCGATGTCCAAGTCTGTTTATTTATCCAAGATTTTTGTTTTGGTGGACATTTTGAAAAATGACAGCCATTTTAATGAAAGTATTCTTGAAATAGGCAGCTGAATTTGGCATAGAATCATTCCTAGAGATCTGAAAACATGCAAAAATACTTACAACACATGATATTATTACTTTTTTTTTTAAATTCTTAACATTTAACTGTTTAATGTGAAATCTGAGGAAACTGGCGGCCATTTTGAATATACAATTAGCAAAGTTCGGTGATGCATATCACGCGTAACGCCATCCTCGTTCCGTTATCAAGTGATGGTTTTATAGATTTTTAATTCTTTGGGGTCCAAGCCTCAATATATTATGATATATTGCACTATACAATAAGCTACAATAATTACTATACATTAATGCATATACCCTATATTTACACAATAGTCACAGATTTTGTATTGGAAAAGTGTCCTCATTTTGGTCGAAATGAATAATGTTCAAAAATCCGTAACTCCGCTTTGGCTTATCCCATAGGAATGGTTGACCCCTCATTTTAATCCTATTTTTATGTACAATCCATTGGTATTACTTCTAAAATGAAATATTTAACTTTAAAATTGCATGATTCTACCTAATGAAACTGTTTGCCATAATTCTGCCATAGGCTCTAGTTCCAATAGGCTCATTCCCACAGCCGTTGAAATTTTTTATTTGACCCGAGGTCAAAGGTTATATTTTATTTGTAATTGCGCCGAATGTAAATACGCCGAATGTAAATGCGCCGAATGGTAAAAGGGCCGAATGTAAATGCGCCGAATGTTAAAAGGGCCGAATGAAAATGCGCCGAATGGTNNNNGAATGTAAATGCGCCGAATGGTAAAAGGGCCGAATGTAAATGCGCCGAATGGTAAAAGAGCCGAACGTAATGGTAAAAGGGCCGAATGTAAATGCGCCGAATGGTAAAAGAGCCGAACGTAATGGTAAAAGGGCCGAATGTAAATGCGCCGAATGGTAAAAGAGCCGAACGTAATGGTAATGGCGTTCCATACAAGAGTGGCACCAGGATTTACCAGACCGGGGAGTTGGGGGCTCGATTTTCCCACAAAAAAAAGTGGGTGCGGTCGGGCGTCGCTCAAAATCTTTTGAAAATATTCCAGGGGGCGAAGACCTCGAAAAACATGACAATTTAGTGGCTTTTATTTAATCGATGTTAGAGTCTACTAATAGGCCTATGTAGAAACATATATATTTTATTTCTCCCTGACGAATTGTGGTTTTTCTCCCCGACGAAGAGGGTGGGGGGGGTGGGGCGGGG